TGGTGATACCAGCCGGAGGGGTGAAATGTAGCATGAACTGGCTTCAATGGATGAGTTTATGGTAGGACTGGCAGTGATAAAAATATCAGCCACAGTCATAGATTTGGATTCAAATGATGCATACAATAAGCTTCAGGAAGACTGCCAAATGGTTCCAAAAATAACAGTATGACTAAAATAACCAACCATTTCAGCCTGCATTCCATGCACTTCCAGTTCTGGTCTGAGAGCCTGTCACTCTACCATTGGTTTCAGTCGGACACCTGCAACCTGGATTTCTTTGCCTAAGGCTCACCGCCTCTCAAAGAAAACTGAAAGGATGCATGTACTGAAACAAATTGCCCGTGCATATGAAAATTAATCAGAGAATACATTGTGCCTCTGTGTCTCACACATTCAAAAGCTTCCTCAAATCCACATATTCAATTTCCTTTCAGAATCCTTGTTTGGTGTTAATTTCTCCCATTGTCCCTGTAAAGCACTTTTAAATATTTAAAGAAGTCTACAATTTTTGTTTTAAGATCAACCTGTTCAGAGATGTTATTACAAACCTCTGGAGCAGGTGCCTTATGACAAATTTCCTAAACCAATTAGTGCAGGAGGGTTTTAGTGCAAAAACTGTACACTTTGGATGAAACAGCAATCAAGTTAATGCTGTTCATAGCTCCAATCAGTGGGGAGCAAGAGAACAAAAATTTTAAGTTTTCTAATTAACTTCCCAATGGAACAATTTTATCTGAGTTAAACATCCACGGTGGTCCCAGATTTGATCAATGTGCCTTTGGGTTGGGGGAGGAAGAGAAAGTCATCCAGAGTGTCAGTTCCTGGTTACTATCAACTCCAAAGTTCAATAGTCCAGTGACAACTACTTTATAAAACGTTTGATGCTAGATTTGACAGCAGCTAACTCAGCATGGACTTGAGATCAAGTCTCTATAACCCATTACTTTTTCCTTTGAGGATCTGTTATGTTAAAGAGCTGTAATCCGGACAGTTGAGTAAACGTGTAATAGGAGACGCAAATTTCAAAATAAACACTCAATTGACATACTTAGAAACGGCAAAAATTTGAAACTGTAAATGATAAAAACTGCTTGCAATGATCAGTATTGTTACCTTTGATTTCACTACGGGGCACTTTAACATTTGAAAACATTTACGCTCAGCAGTTGGAACTGTGGAAGATTTCCAGCTACTACGAGTGTAGGTTTTGCCTTTATATTGTTGGACCATCTGGTGACAGGAACTTTGAGCTTGGACACCATACTGCTGTCATAAGTAGTTTGTATTAAATAAGAAGCTTTTATTAATAGCTGGTTTTAGGACAGTAAGTTAACCCAAGTGAAACAATATTATTAGTATTTCTATTGAAGTCAGAAGCTTCAGGATTCAAATCCCTTTCCCAACCCATATAAAAGTTTGAAATGATACAAATCATCCATGGAAAGGATGCTTCCTCTTAGAGCTGAGTCTAGAACTGGGGGATACTTTAAAATTTAGGGGTGGCCTTTTAAGACAAAAGATTAGAATTTTTTTTCTTTCATAGGGCTGTGTGAATTTGTAATTCTATCTCAAAAGGCAGTGGGGATGGGGTTATTGATATTTTTAAGGCGGCGGTAAATAGATTCTTGTTAGGTAAGTTAATCAAATGTTATTGGGGACAAATGGAATGTGGAATTTGAAACAAGGGGCCAAATGGCCCCAGGTTCATAAGTCTGAAATGACTATGGCTCCCCAACCTCTGATCCCACCGCATGCAGTACTGGGCAAACTCCAAAGCCTCCAACTGGCATCTTCCAGTTGTTAACAAAAAACTACAGCTATGAGAGGAGCTGTTAAATTAGCTGGTGAATCCTTCCATTACTTCACACAATTCCCCAAGGGAGAAGTGTGAAGATCCAAAGCAAGAAACCAAAATGAACATGTGTAACCCAGCCAGTCAATTATCATCTGTGTAAAATATTCAAGACACCTTACAAATCCGCAAAAACATCACAATCATGTGAACAAGCACTTGAACTTACACAAACTATCTTTTCACAACCTAAATTTTATTGTCTATTATCATCTAAATGGTGCATTTGTAATTCCATTTCAAATTGTATTTGTAATATCGATATTAGGATTGTAGGGTTAAAGTTTGAATCCTTGACAGGTATCTGCTGAAAATTAGCTTGGAGCATCCATCCAGCCAGACACATGTGTGGTTTATGTAGGACTACAAAAGGGACATTCTTTTATAAACCTTTTAATGTATCTTACATCATATGGACCAAATGGTGGTGCCCAATAGCATTATCTTTAGTCACTTTTACCGATTACTAGGTTGATTGTAACAGAATATTTCTGTAATAAATTGCAAAAAAAACTTTCACTACACGAATCCTTCAGGCAAACCTGACAATTTAGAATGACATTAGTATTTTGCTGGCATGTTGAGTGATATATTAACATACAGAATTATAAAAACCAATAAACTTTATTTCTATTTATGAGAAAAACAGAGGAAGCAATAAGCTGCAAAAAATCTACAAGTAATGCCACTGCAGTAGAAATTGTGTTGATGTCATTAGAACTAAACACCTTGATCAATGATGAGCATCCATGATTGCCCACAATGGATGTGGTGCTTTAATGACAGATGAACGATAGTACACATAGTCAAATATCACAACCTTTATTAGGTTTTCATCTACATCCAGAAACATTACCTTTCAGCCTATATCATGAATGATGATGAGTGGGAATGGTTGCTGACATTTTCCCTGTCCAGTACAGGAACATGAAGACTAATTTTAGTGCAGCAAATACTGCCCCAACTGAGATCAGCTAAGTTTTCCTTCTTCACTAGAAATGACAGCGTAAGGACAAGGGTGCAAGATCTATTTCCAAATCCTGTCAAATAATTTCAACAAAGCATGATTCTGAGATTTTTAAATGGCTTAATGTTGCAATTTTCCCATTGCTTTCAACATGAACTGCTCCTATAGAGATGTCAGTTGAAAGGAGAAAAACAAACCTGCCACTTTTGTGAAAATTGTGCAATGTCGCACTACAAAAGAAAAACGTGCATGAAGTATCAAGTTGGTGGCCCTTAAAGTAAACTACTGGCCTAAATAATTTGTGTTAAATAATTCACTGTTATCTTTGTAAAATCATAATGAACTTCTGACATACAAGTTTATCAATGTTTACCAACTTGTTTGCAAGAATTCTGCTTATCAAAATAAAGAAACATCAGTCTGGCAAAGAGTATTTTCTACTTCAGTTCCAACATTAAGCACTCCCAGAGTGTGGTCAAGACAGGTTGATGCACAGCAAAATACCATAATTTGATCTGACAATTTATCTTCTCCTCATCCCCAGGGGAATACCTTTTATTGAACTGTACAACAATCTTCCATTTCCTACACCAGTCATCCAGGAACTCGATAAATGGAATTGGTTGTTGCAAGCCAATTACTGACAAATGGTTGTAAACTTAGTGCAGTACATCTTGTCCAGTAAACTGAGGAAATCCACTTCACATGTGAGTCTCATAACCAACACATGATGGCGATTATTATCTCATGGTCCAGTCTGGAATCCCATTATGCCACCTAGCATTATGTGCCTGCTTACCTAAATGTCCGGCTTTAGTTCTTATCTAAAGGCACTCTCCCCTATATTGTTCTGAGTTCCTCTTTGTACAAATAATATAATCTAAGATTCCCACAATATTCACTCAAACTACCAACCAGTCTTGGTCAATTACATGAATTGAACATATCATGACTCAGCCCATTGTCTGCCTGGAGACGTGTACTTTGTGAACTGAATGATGGTTGACAAAATATTTCATTTCAGCCCTTGACTAAGGCATCACTTTTACATCCAAATCCAGACAACAGACGTGGAAGTAGTAATCTTGAACACACAGTGACACCCAATTTTACAGTTTTAAAGTTTCTGCATTAAAAGTAAATATAACAGCTCAAAAATGGTCCTGTTCTTTGACTTCGACAAATGAACATCAGCAAAAACTATAAATAAATAGTATGAAGTATCCCAATTTTTACTTAGTAGGAAAACTCTTTCTTTAAACAAACAATCCTCATGTAGTGAAGAGTCTATGCGGGCAATTTCTCCCAAGTTGCTGCTAAGAAACACATGACATTAGGCCAGAAACATTTCTCTCTCGCTCCCCCATCATCTACAAGGGAGAGTGTGGACATGCTCCCAGAATGAAATCAATAATATATGTTAATAATACCACGGTATCGAAGAAAATTTACATATCCCATCGTATGCTACCATTTCAAGTGCTCCAGTTCAAAATACTGCAAAATTTTAACTAAATGTCTAATAAAGAGTCACCTAAATTGAATTTATACACCTTAGAGTTCATAGTCGTTCCTGGAAACAGGAACAACATATCAAATGTTTGGAACTTTCAGCCACTGAATGATTTATAAACTAAAAAGACCAAAAACATCCCTATTTTGACTCTTGTTCACGATTAGTTAGCTGATCTCAGATAGGCCAGTAATTGGGTGTAACAATTGGGTCCAGTGACACGAGGCTAGTGAAAAGAACAAGGATGTCCTTCAATTACTTAGTGCATGTCAGGGTACTTGAAGGCTACTGCTATAAGAACTTACACTTCCAGAGATAAGGTACTGAAAGAGAAGAAAACGCGGATGTGGCAATGGAAAATACCTCTATGTAAGCATGTGCACTATTAATTAATATTTTATATCTGCTCTTGCATTTCAAATAATCAATCAGATGAGCCTGGTATTTCTTTTGGTAATACCAGGATAACTTCAGTTTAGTGCTGAGTAAATAGACTACTAATTTTTATAAGATGTGTGTCAATCTACATTTCTTGAATTTTTAGTGCAGAGGTTTCTGGAAAGGAGTGGGGAGTTGGTGAAGATAAGAATGAGTGAATGAGTGCATTATACAACTGGCAGATTAAAGAATAATAATATTTCTCCACTGATGCTGATGCAACTGACCTTCCATAGGGGTGTTTGGGTCCGGCCTGTTTGCAAACACCACATCCACATACTCCAACTGCAAGCGCTCAAGAGAAGCCTTCAGTCCTGCAAAAGCAGAATATATATATATATATAAAAAATATATATACACACACACACACACAGTCTGACAATTTTATGAAGCCTTGCTTTGCTTGGAATTTTATGTGGTGAGAAAAATAAATACTGTAATTACGGCTTTAAAGTTAAAAGAACAAACTGCTTATTTTGAAAGTTTATTTTCTTGTGGAAATGTCATGATTTGCAAAAATGGGCTAATAGAATGGCGGTGGAGGAACACAGCAGGCCAGGCAGCATCAGTGCAGCAGGAAAGCTGATGTTTCGGGTCAGGACCCTTCTTCATAAATGAATCAACGTCAGCTTTCCTGCTCCTCTGATGCTGCCTGGCCTGCTGTGTTCCTCCAGCTCCACACTGTTATCTCTGACTCCCTCTAATAGAATGGCAGGCCTTGCATACTAAATGGTTTCTTCAAAACCACAGCATCATTTGCTGTTGACTAGGTTAAGGCTAAAGAAAAGGCAGCATCATTTATTTAGCTTTTTGCAACATTAAATCTGTTATCTGTGCCTGCACTTAAGATAAGCCTGTCTCCCTCCACTTTCTTTCTGGCCAGGAACATGTTGCTTTCTTTTTTAAAGAAGATTCAAAATTTGATTTATTACTGTGTCAACAAGGTAGCGATTACTGTCGGTGATGTATCATAAAGATTCTTAATATGTTCACATCAAGTGAAGATTTCATGCTTTAATAAAGGAATTAACCAATCATTGATAACAGAATTTTTGTATTAATGTAGCATCCTACCTTCTATAATGTGTTTTCGGGATAGCCCTCGCTCAGTTTCTGCCCTGCAAGCGAAACATATATCAGAAACGTGGATTATTGAAGAATTAATTCTCAGTAATAGGTCTGGTTAATCCAAGTTAGATGACATGCCCAAATATTACCAAGGAAGTTATTTAATTTGTGCATATAAAATTTCACAATGGCAGGGGTGCAGAAATAGTAGACCTGTTTCAGAAGCACTTTTCTTTTGGAACTTTAAAACATCTGCTGTATTGAGCTACACAGATCAATCCTATGCTTGGTTTCCGGTCTGTTCTGAGGTAACTGAACTTGGGCAGAATGGCAATATGAAAGCCTTATCATTCCATTATAGGAATGAAGGCTAAAAATTATGCAGATGGACATTGATGTCAATCAGTTCAAACTCGACTGTGACGTCTCCAAGGAGTAAACAGTCAACACCAATTTCTATGTAGATGCTCCTATAGTACACCTGAGTAAATTATGGAACTGAACAACAAATTGTGGATATTCTTGCCTTGCAGCAACTATAACCAAGAATACAGTACTTTAAGAAAACAGACACACTATTACATAGTGTCTTTCAAGGCTTAAAAACATCCCAAAGTACTTCATGACCGTTCAATGCATCATCCTCCGCCTCTTCTGCCAACTGCAATCTGACCCCACTACCAAGGACATTTTTCCCTCCCCACCCTTATCTGCCTTCCGGAGGGACCGCTCTCTCCATGACTCCCTTGTCCGCTCCACAACATTCCCCACTAGCCCCACCATCCTGGCACTTTTCCCTGCAACCGCAGGAAGTGCTACACCTGCCCCCTCATCCCCATCCCAGGCCCCAAGAAAACCTTCCACATTAAACAGATGTTCACCTGCACAGCTGCTAAGGTGGTATATTGTATCCGCTGCTCCCGATGTGGCCTCCTCTACATCGGGGAAACCAAGCGGAGGCTTGGAGACCGCTTTCTGGAACACCTATGCTCAGCTCGTGACAAATGACTGCACCTCCCAGTCGCGAACCACTTCAACACCCCCTCCCACTCCTTGGACGACATGTCCATCCTGCCTCCTCCAGTGCCAGAACGATGCCACCCAAAGGTTGCAGGAACAGCACCTCATATTTCGCTTGGGAACCCTGCAGCCCAATGGTCTCAAATGTGGACTTCACAAGCTTCAAAATCTCCCCACCCTCAACCTCATCCCAAAACCAGCCCAGCTCGTCCCCGCCTCCTTGACCTGTCCGTCTTTTCTCCCACCTATCCGCTCCTCCCACCTCACTGACCAACCCCCAACGCCACCCCCACCTCCTACCTACCAGCCTCATCCCTGCCTCCTTGAGCTGCCCGTCTTCTCTTGACTGACCAACCCCCATCCTAACTCCCCACCTACACTCACCTTTACTGGCTCCATCCCCGCCTCCTTGACCTGTCCGTCTTCTCTCCACCTATCTGCTCCTTTATCCACCTTCCATCCACCTCCCCACGTCTCTCTATTTATTTCAGAAACCCCTTCCCCTCCCCCATTTGTTTTATTTGCTGTGTATGAAGGAAAATTGGAATGTTGGTAAGAGGATGCTCATTGTATAACGATAATCTCAATGTTTCTGTATGCTCCAGAGCTTTGCTTCAGTCTTAATAACTGCTCAAATAAAATGATTGTAAGTACTGATACTCAGTCTCCAGCAGCTTCAGCATGGCTGCTCCGCTATCGATGACTGCATGCCAATCACAGTACTGACTTCCAGTTTTCGAAGTCACTATCAGGCATGGGCCTTGGAGGCCCAGGCAACTGGTAAGAAAATTAGAGGGAGCGTTGGTCTCCAGTAGTTGATTATTTAAAAATCAAGATAAAATTACCTTTACATTTTTTCAATGCATGCTTTCAATGAAAAGTTTCACTGCCAGATTGCTCATCAGAAATCACAGACATGTGTTTTACACTATTCTGTCCATTAAAAAGATTTGTTTGCAAAATTGTAGGGAGTTCAAATCCTGCATTCTAAAATGGTTACCTCCTTATATTTACCGTTCCCTCCAGAACACCTGGGGTCCACTCTTGCTTTACTTCCAGCAGTCCCCCACAGCCCATGGCACCTTGCCCTGCAACTGCAGAAGGTGCAACACCTGCCTATTTACTTCCTTCCTCCCAGCTGTATCCAAGGGCCTAAACGTACCTTCCAGGCGAAGCAGCGCTTTACCTGCACTTCCACTCAATCTAGTCTACTGCATTCGCTGCTCACAATGTGGTCTTCTCTACATCAGGAAACCGAAGTGTAGACTGAGTGACTGCTTTGCAAAACACCTATGTTCTGCCTGCAAAAAAGACTGAGCTTCCAGGTGCCTTCCACTTTAACATACCACCTTGTTCTCTGTCTAAGGCTTGCTGTAGTGTTCCAGCAAAGTTCAGCACAAGCTGGAAGAACAGCACTTCATTTTCTGCTTCAGTACTCTGCAGCCTTCTGGACTTAATATCGAGTTCAACAATTTTAGGGCTTGAGGCACCTTCTCCCATGTCCTTACCCCAGCCCCCAAACATCAGGCCTTGTTATCACACAGTGTGCTATTAAACACTACCCATTGTTAGCCACTAATAGTTCCCATTAGCAGCCATTCATTCTCCCAGACTGACCATTATCCAAGCCTTTCTACGCAACTGTTCTTCTCTCTCTTTGAGCTCCATTTCCATCTAACATTTACTCTTTAATTCCTACACCCAGCCTACATTCTGCATAAATACCAACCTTTGCCTACCTACCATCGGTTCTGAAGAAGGGTCATTGGACCCGAAATGTTATCTCTGATTTCTCTCCATAGATGCTGCCAGATCTGCTGTGATTTTCCAGCAATTTCTGGTTTTGTTACCTCCTTATATTTTACAGGTTAATTGGCACTTGAGGCTTTCCACTCTGCTTAGGAACTTCACCTGTGGTTTTCCATCTAAATCAGAGATTTAATCCAGTGAAAATGTATTGTGTCATGGTGAGGGCTCCAAAAGAACAAATGATGAGAGAATGGACTTCCTCAGTAATTAAATGTATGTATGAGTCATGTATCTACATGACATTGGTGTGCTTTCCATTCAAACTCACACACTGAACTCCAAAACAATAAAAGCAACAAAAAAATCTGAATACAAAATTCTAACCTTCTCCATTCCCTCCTGAAGGTTTAGAATGATTAAACTGTTTCCGGCAAGATGGCTGCAGGTTAAGTCGCCATTCGGAGCTCCACTCTGCTCGCCAGTTCTCTTTCTTTCTTTCTCCTTCCTTTTTTTGCCTACCTTCTTCTCTCTCCTTCTGTAGTAATTCTATCCCCACCCCAACCCTTTTCACTACCTACCTAAGAGGTCGGGAAGGAGCTGGGTCGCGACCGGGAACCACATGGCAGGAGCCGAATGCGCGGGTTGTGTCCTGCAGCGGTGGTGGATCGAGTGTAGGCTGGAATGATGGTGGTGGATCAAGAGTGGGCTGACGAGAGCAGGACTCTGGCAGAGGCATGACGAGGGCTGGGCAGCCTTGAGCAGGACTCTGGCAGAGGCATGGCAAGGGCTGGGGAGCCCGGAGCGGGACTGCGGCAGTGGAAAGGAAAGTTGGACTCTCTTGTCTTTTTAATCTTACTATAGGTTAATGTGTACAGTGCCATGTATGTACGATGAAGGTACGCACTTTTCACTGTATTTTTACATTGAATACATGAGGACAATAAATAATTTAATTCAATTCAATTAGTCTTTTAGTGCTTTGGCAATGTTACCATTATTCATTAGAAAATTTCCATAATGGGTGCCAGAAGATAATTCAACAAGGGCAATGACGAGGTAGTAAAGGAAACCTGCCTGTTATTTCCTTACTAACCCAATGTCATCCATGTCTGGACTACCATTCAAGCTTCCAATTTGCTAAGCTGATAAAGGTGAGGAATCAGACCTGTGACCCATCCAGCTCGACTGTTCTGCTACTCATTAATAAGTTTGCTAAGTCAGTGAGAGCAACATTCAAAACGTACTACACAGCAGTCCAATTTTTGCTGCATGGAAGGTAATAAATAGTTTTAAGTAGGAGTTTTTCCAAAGGAAGGAAGACATAATCGAGGCTAAGGCCTATCATCAGCGAAGTACCATAGATTTCTTTTTGTAAATATTAAAAAATGCTATACAACTGTACATCGATAAATAAATCACACATCTGCAATGGCACTGATCAAAAGACTTTTAATTTGCCCGGCCCAACCAGCGCCTTTTGGTTATATAATAAGGTATCAGCATTTAAGGTTATAAAATCATGAGAATTATGCAATTTCAATAGTCAAAATTTTGAGATCACAATTTTCTCTCCTTCCAAACGAAATTACTCCTTGTTGGATACAACTTCATAACGACAAAAACTGATTCTTCAAGCCAAGCTCAATCCTTTCCTCACACTTTAAAAATATGGAGCATGAATTTAATGGCCCTGATTTTCTGCTAGCCAGACAGTTATTATAGGAGTTATCCAAGGGGAACCCCTGCAGATCTCCATTATAGCACACTCCAAAGGAATGTAACTGGAAATTGTACTTGCTGCTGTACAATTCCGTTGTGCCTGGAATTCTCCAAAAGCCTCCATTTTTGTATTCTCGTCGACCTGCCCAGACCAGACTCCCTGCTCTGGACTGGACCAGGCAATGCCCAAACCTGATGTCCCTCCCTCATCCACAGGACTCAACCTAACTGTCTCTCACCTACCCTGAACACTGCATCACTTACCTTGCCAACTTGTACCTTACCAATTTGGCACCCCATCCAATACATATCTGGCATCTACTTACTTGGCACCCTACCCACCCAGAACGTTGTCTCTATCTATCTGGAATTCTACTCCTGAAACCTACTTCCTCCCAGCTGGCACCATAACCAGCCACCACATACTAACCTGACACCCTACCTCTTAATCAATTAGCATCCTACCCCCACGCAAGCTGGCATCCTTCCCAAGTAGCATCCTACTTTCCTAGCACCCTACCCCTCTACCTATCGGGCACCCTAAAATTTCACTTTGACAGCAGCTATCAAAGTGGCTGTCAGAACCTTTAAATGTCAGAATATGGGAGTTGATTGTTATTAAAAAAGGGTATATTTTTCTATTCTCTGATAGTTCTGCTACAAAGAAATTGTCAGAGTAGAAGTATGGCTCTGAATTCCTGCGGAACATTCCCCTCAGAAACACAGAGTTTCACTGTTATGTTAAAAAAAGGGGCTGGTCTGGCAGTCTGTGAGGTTACCACTTCTCAGAAAATTCCACCCCATATTCCCAGCTCGCCAGTGCCAAATTGCAGCCCTTGGTAGAAGTTAAATCAGTACATCTGAGGACCACATCTTGCCCTTCCAGCCCTGCATGCCTCAAGATAAAGTCACAGAGTCATACAGCATGGAGTCAGACCCTTCCATCCAACTTGTCCATGCCGACCTGTTATCCTAAACTAAACTAGCCCCACTTGCTTGTGTTTGGAGTTAATCTTTACCAACCAAGAAAACTGGAATAGATATTAATTATATTTATTTTTTAAAAAATTATTAATAACTGAATATAGGGTTACATACTTTCCACCCCAGAAGATTTTAGTAGTAATGACAAGGCTGGACCGTCTGTGAAGAGAAAACAGGACATGGCAGTAATAAAAGGCTTGGCTAATTCAACTGTCTAAGTTTTATAAACAGTAATGCAAGGCTAACAAGTTAATACAATTAGTTTATTCTTTAATTCACCCTAAAAATAAATGTTGGGGGTTAATTTTGGAAAATGAATAAATGCATCAACCTTTCTTTCAGAGGGTGGACATGCCGTTTGGTGCTTGACTCATAAAAGTATTTAAAGTATCAGACGCTAATCTACTATTTTAGCCCAGAGGAAGTTGTTAGAAGCACATTCAGGTGTTTTTCGTGAGAAGTACTGATCATAATTGCTTTTGTTATAAGTCATTTCAGTTTTGTATCTTACTGCACATAGCTCGGTTGTGAAGTTAGAGAGTCAGTGTGCTTCTAGGTCTCTGCTAATGCAATCTATCACAGGGAGGTCCACAAGACCACTGCAAGGCAATTCATTATTTTATTTGTCGGGCTATTTTGGGGAAATTGCTGGTCTACGACTAGCATCTGCTCTAAATGACTGAAAATCCACCACATGAAATGCAAATCTTCCAAATAAAACACACATTCATTACTGCAGGCTAAATTTAATCTCAAATATGTCTAGAGAGATTTTGCATTTGAGAGCCAATTAATAAGTTAATTGGTTCTTTTTTTTCTCAGATTGCAAACAATGTATTGGAGTGGGGGGAGGGTTGTTACATGCACTCTTACATTGACGTAACTATTATCACCTTTGCTCTCCCTTTGCCAATGTCAGCTATTAAAAGATTATATTTCTAACCTTCAAACATTTATACTAAAAAATGTGACACAATTTCATTAGGTCTTAACCACCAAAATGCAACATTATTTTGGACAAATAAACTCAATTTCGAACTAACAAGTTAAAGTTACCTCCATCCTTTTTTCTTAATGATACTTCCCAAGACAATTTCTGCCCTAGGGAACAGAAAAAAAAGGTAAGATTAAAAACGTTTTACAGTAAACATTAAATTACTACACAGTGGCTCAGTGATTGGCACTGCTACCCCAGAGTGCCAGGAACCCGGGTTCGATTCTACCCCCGGGCAACTGCCTGTGTGGAGTTTGCACATTCTCCCAGTGTCTGTGTCAGTTTCCTCTGGCTGCTCCAGTTTTCTCCTATAGTCCAAAGATGTGCAGGCTAGGTGAATTAGCCATGGGAAATGCGCGGTTACAGAGATAAGGTAAAGGAGTGGGTCTGGGTGGAATGCTCTTTGGAGGTTTTGGTGTGAACTCAATGGGCTGAATGGCATGCTTCCATACTGTCGGGATTCTATGATTCTATGATACATACAAGATCATGATGCCTTTATTTATGATCAGACAATACTTTGCTACACAATATTAATTGTGTTTAATTTTATGCAAGTGGACAAGTGACACCCTTTGATGTGTCAACCCAACTGAATCCCAGAAATCAAACCCAAACGAGGTGCTTTAATTGATAAAAATGTCCTGCCCATACTACACACACAGCCATGGTAAACTCAGCACATTATTGTGTACTTAAGGTTTGTGTAAATGTAGTAGCTATATTCTCAACATGTAAAGTAAGTTTTTTACACTGTATAATAATTTATTGAAGTATAGAAATTTTCAGCACAGGAAGATTGTTTTTGGCCCACAGTGCCTATGCTTGCTTTTCAAAAGAGCAGCCAAGCTTGATTTCACATCCTCACTTTCTTTACATAATCCTGTAGTTAGTCATTTGGCCATACAGAACATGAATATCTTGCACTCATCAAGTCAATTTGCAAGAAATAACAAGGTAAAGGTAAGACAACATTTACAGTAGGAAGACAACAGTGCTGAATCAACCCATTACTCCGAGAAATGAACAACGAATGGTAATGGACTGTTTTGATGAATTGAAACAGGTGCAATGTGTTTATGTATTGCATTTGCAAAGAACATGATTCTGCAGATTCATACATATACACCTTCTAGCATGCGCAAGTGTGACACCCTGTGACCCCAAATGACAATTCTAAATTGATTTTCAGTGCAATTCTTCGTACACTCAAGATTATATAGTAAATACTGCCCAACCATAGAACCACACTAATTTTGGACACTGTTTTGAGTTTTGCAAGCATGGGCTAGTTGGGCAAGGTCACTATTTTGCTTGTTGCAAACAAACAAAGGACAAATGCTAATGGGATCCCCTTACAGGTTAAATAATATTTAGCCCCACAATTCTTCCTGCCAAAGTGAATAACCTCATATTTCCCCATATTATATTCCATCTGCCAAATTTTTTCCCACTCATTTAATCTGTCTCTACACCTCTGCAGACTCTTAGTGCCATCCGCACCACTTGCCTTCTGACCTATTTTTGTGGCTTCTGGAAACTTGGGATATAGTGTAGTCACTTTCCTCACCCAAGTCATTAATATATATTGTCAGTAATTGTGGCCCCAGCACTGATCCATATTTTCCCAATGACAGATGTTAAGCCGTCTGGCCTGTAGGTAGTTGTTTATTGTCTCCTTCCCTTAATAAATAAAGATGCTACATTGACAGTTTTCCAATTCTCTGGGAGATTTTCCAGAATTAAAGGATCCCTGGAAGATTACTACAAGTTCATCCACTATGTCTGAAGCTATCTACTTCCTTTAATGTTCTAGGATGCATCTGTCAAATCCAGAGGACTTATTGGTCTTTAGTCCATTAGTTTCCCAAGCAGTTTTTCTACAGTAATAGTTAATGTATTCATTTCCTGTCATTTGCCCCTTGAATATTTAGTAATTTTCAAGCACAAAGGAAGGAGATTTCATTTGTTACGGACCAATCGTCTTGTTTGAAGTTTGCTGATTATATCATAGTGTTCAGTACTATTCACAACTCCTCAGATACTTAAGATGTCTGTGCCTGCATACAGCAAGGCCTGGGAACCCGCTCATAATCACAGAATTGTTATAGCACAGATGGAGGCCATTCAGCCCATAAGTCAGCAAGTAACATTCATGCCACAAATGTGCAAAGGAACGACCATATCAAAAAGAAAAAGAGAGAAACCAAACACTTCTGTTTAATATACAACAGCAATACCATTACTGAAGCTCTCTCCATCAACATTTTGGTGTTTACTAGTGACCAAAAATTTAACTGGACCAGCTCTATAAGTACTGTGGCTATGGCACTCTTAATAGCTCAGCTGGTAGAGAAGAGGACAATAATGCAGGTGCTGTTGTGGTGCAGTGATAGTATCTCTACCTCTGGGCCAAAGATCAGGGTTAGTCCCATCTGCTCCAGAGATATGTCGCAATATATCTGAACAGGCTGATTAAAAATATCTAATACAAGAACAGGTGACAGGCTGAAAATTCAGTGAGTAACAAATCTGACTTTCCAAAGTCTGTCCTGACATCAACTAGCAATAAATTAGCAATCTGATAAGAGTAGTTTTCAGTTGCCTAGATGATTACAGTTCCAATAGTACTCAAGAAGCTCAACACCATCTAAGGCAAAGCAACCCATTGGATCAGCACCCCATCCATGGCCTTAAACATTCACTTCTTGCACCTCCAGTGCACAATCATAGCATGAGTACCATCTACAAGATGCATTATAACAAATCAACAAGGATCCATTGATAGCACTTGCCAATACTCTATCACCTAGAAGGACAAGAGCAGCTGACATATTGGAACACCAGCATCTGCAAGTTCCCCTCCAAAGCATATACCATCCTGACCTGGAATTATTTCACTGCTGCTTTACTGTGACTGGGACAAAAACCCATGGTACTCCACCTAACAGCCTTTTGTTTGTACCAACACTACACAGACTAAGTGGCTTAAGAGGTGGCAGTTGGGGTTTGACAACAAACGCTGGTTTTGCGGGCAACACCCATATCCCAGCAATGAATTTTTAAAAAAAATCCATTGTGCAATTGATGTCCAGAAACTAGAATTGCAAGCAATACCCAAGTTGAGGCCTAACTGGAAGTTTGTAAAGACTTAGCATAAATATCCCACCTACTTTACAAAAAATAGCACTGAAAGTAGATTCTCCTGCCATAGATTACATGTTGTGCTCATTCATAAACTCACTGGCATAAACACTTATTCTCATGGTTCTGATGAGCTGTCAATCAGGGTGTCTAGTTGCCTGCAAACACACTGAATTAGGTGTACCTGTAGACGGGAAATAAGAGTCTGCTGCTCAAAAGATGACCTGCAGCTTCTGGGGATTCTACCTGAATACATCAGCTTCCAGCTCTCTAAATCTTTTTGCATAGTTAATAATTCTAGTCTCTCAATCTCAGCAATGTTCCACTAATATAACTGTGCTGTATCAATCTCTATAAATAATGCACAAGGTTAACTAATGTCTTAGCCTTTAAAATATTTTAAAATGCAACCCACTTCAGATAAAATGTGTCATCAATTTGGCCAACCTGAACGGAAAAAATGATAACCATAATAAGTGTTGACTTTTTGATCAATGAGCATGTTCTATTAGTTTTTTAAAAAACATCAATAGGAATGATGACTGAATAGCTAACACTGCATTTAGTGGCTATCTAAAGCTGAAACAGAACATGCTGAAAGAACACAATTAGCATCCATGCAGAGAATATAGCAGTTAGTATTTTAGGTGTGGCCCTTCTGTCAAAACCATAACATGTTACGTGTGAACATCATTTCAACACAAAAAAAGCAAAGACAAAAAGGAAGGAAACAATGCAGAAGGAAAGAAATGGAATGACCTGTAGAACCAGGAGATATTTAAATGTTAAAAATTACACTGTCAATGCCAATAGGAAGCCACTGCCCATACAGTATGCTCTTAGATGTTGGTAATTATGTACAACATGGAAGTGCTTTGGAACAAATGGCAAACCAAAGTCACCAGGTATCCATTCTGACTTCCATGTTAAGAGTTTTTGACATCTAGCTTGTTTGGCACATTTGGTGCATCTAAAGACAATATCAGTAAACTCTCATAATATTCCGAAGTACCGTATAGCCAATGAATCACTTTGTTCAGTGTCATGCAGGAAATTCAGTCGTGAATTTGGATACAGAAAGGAGCCATAAACATCCAGAAATATTTTGGTGTATTGATTATGGGTAATTTTAACCATTCTTCTTTGAATCGCCCACCTGAATGGCTGGACAGGGGTTTAATTTAATATTTAATCCAGAGATGACATCTGTAAGAATACAACAATAACTCAGTAATGCATGGAAGTAAGCATCAGGTTAAAATATATTCTGAGGAAGGGTCACTGGACCCAAAATATTAACTCAATTTTTCTTCACAGATCTGCCAGATCCGCTGACCTTTTCCAGCAACTTCTGTTTTTGTTCCTGATTTACAGCATCCGCAGTTTTTTCGGTTTTTAAAATAGCTGGGTCAATTGAAATTTTCAAATTGATATTGCTAAATTTTTGTTGGGTAAGAGTATCAAAGGATATGCATCAACTATAAGTAATGGAGTTGATGTACAGATCAGCTCTGATCAAATTAAATTGCAGAAAGGGCTAGAGTGATTGAAAGGCTTACTGCTGTTCCTATATTCCTTATATATTCAAGCTCATAGTGGTACTTGAACACACAATGCAACAACTCAGAAGCAAGAGTCCTACAAGTTAAACTAAGCTGACACAGAAGTCTGAGATGAGGTCACCTACATGCTTCGTTAGACTGGGAACTAAACTAATTCGAAGTTGTAATGAGTTATATTGTATTGGTCAAACAGTGCTGAATACTATCCAGTCTAAATTTCATAAGAAGCTAATTTAAAAACATGCAAACATGAATAACAAGACTGATCCCATGAGCTGTGAGGAAAGATTACAGTCTATATTGTCTATATGGACTTTAGCAAGGCCTTTGCCAAGGTCCCACATGGCAGGCTGGTATAGAAAGTAAGTCACATGGGATCCACGATGAGCTGGTGAGATGGA